TTATATTTGAGGTGGAAATGAAGGAATAGGAGAATAGCCTGTGTAGCTTCTAAGCATACGTTTCAAAAAATTTACCTTTTATACAGAAAATAATACGAATTTACAATTTGGAAAGTCATTAAATTGTCATTTTGTCCACATTAAAGATATAAATGTGATAATAGTAAGTCAAGTTAAGATAAATATTTGGTCAAGGTCTATTGACCTCTTGGGATACGAATTGAAATGATTGATAAGCCACGAGGTTATATAGACGACAAAGCAATAAAGAACTCCGTAACAATTACAACAAATATATAAATAAACATGTTCAAATCTGTTCAAAAATAATAGTTTAAAGTTCAAAATTAATGGACATAATTCATCGTCAGGTCAATATTTTAAGACCAGGTTGGTGTTCAATTTTGAGCTCTTAAAAAACACACTCGCCAAAGATCAGCGTTGCATCTTATTTATTATTTATGCATATGCATTTCGGCCTATTTCACAGGTCCCAGGGCTTTTAAGACCTATAATCATACTCATAATCATACATCATGGAGTGTTTGTTTTTAAGAGTTCAACATTTCCAACAACCCTAGTTATAAAAAGAAAAAAAACGAAGGAAGAGGAAGAAGGAATTGTAATAAACACACCACCAAGATCGCATAGCAGAACTAGGACAAGCAAAAAATCAATATTTTCGATTGTTCCTTCCGGTTTTCTCAAAAACTATCACCTAGAAAAAAATTGAACGGTATTTTTCTTAGCATACATTTTATTTTCAAATATTTTATTAATTATAGGGGTTTTGATTTCTTAAAAAGTTAAAAAGTATAACTAATGAGCACATGGCACTTTAGCATCGCCAGCACGTCTCCAGACTTGTGTCCACCGGACTTTTTTCTTTGAGGTTATTTAAAAAAATAATGTTTATGAAAATTTTACGCCCATAACAAACGTGGAGGAAATATCGTTAAAAACAAGGAGGGACTCTAGTAAGTTGACTCCTTGTATAATTCAAAACAAACCCTGCCTCTTTTTAGACCACTTCAAGTTTCAGATTCAAGTTTTCCCTTTGTAATATTTTAGACTTTTTTACGGCTTTACTGTAATTGTAGAAATGGAAAATGTAATCAATAAATTATTACTTGAATTTCATTCGGCTATATCTGGCAAATGGTTAGCCACGTGGCTTGTGAAGTTTTGTGTAGTTATTATAATAATTGAAATTATTATGATTATAAAAATAAAAAAACATAAATGCATGTACGATGGATACTACACAAAAGAGACGAAATGCTGCTAAAACTAAAAAACTGTATCTTCTATTTTGGCTAAATAAAAACAACACACTCAGTAATTAATTCGTAAATAAGCAGAAACGAAGCTCCTACGTATCAAAAGCACTGTAGATAGGTGACCTTCGGAGGATCTGATTGTGAAGAAGAGTCAACCTTAATCTATGAAGGATAGGCCATACGAGGTTGACTCACCGACACCTACTTTTGCACCAAAGCCCACGTATGTGTCCGGCTTGTAGAAAAAGGTTGCTCGATGTGTCACAATAGAGCAACTCCTTGACTCTATACAGAGAGAGTGTAAGAATTCCACCCGATATAAGAAACATAATTAAGCACGGCAGCGAGTATACGGGCCTCAGATTTTTGTATGAAACAAGGTGGTTTTATCATATATAGTATAGTTAGGTGTACCGAGTGTGTGTTAAAAGTGAATGTATTTATTGGCGTGAATAGATAGTGGAAGAGGGCTGATGGCGGAGTATTAATTAGGTCGGTTATATAATAGGTAAAGGATTATGGAGGAATGTCGAGTACTCCACCTCCCTAACTGAGTGAATGGTATGTAAATAGAAAAGAATTTATTTAAGAATGAGTGAGAATGTGAATGTGTTAAACTGCATGCGTTGGGTTCCGAATTCACCTAGCTGTGGCCAGCACCCTGAGCCCAACATCGGTGGCTGGACTGATAAGACAGACGTCTGACCCAGGATTCGAGCTGGGTTATTGTCGAGGCCTGCTGGTAATTTATTGTAAATTACAAAAGCTGGAATTGCCGGAGGACTGCGATAAGCGATAGGCTAAACTCTGAACATATATGTGTGTATATATATATATATATATATATATATATGCAGGTTTGAGCTTATATACATCCAAGAAGGAAATTGAAAACATGACCATAACTAAAAGCCTTTTTTCACTTCTTAATTATAACCATTTACTAATTATTAATTTCGAAAATTGGTCGTCCTGAGGCAAGCATAGAAATAATAAACCACGAAGTTATGTAATCTTCCGAAAGCATTCACGAAAACATTTGGCAAAAATTTTAACAAGAAAATAACTAAAAATTCTAAAGTCTGAAAAAAGTCGTTGAATGTTGAAAATTAATTACCATTATTAAAATTATTATTTTGTTTATTTTACATACTTATGGCTAACTTACAAAAATACATTGAGCACATCGTTCAACACAAATTTGACAGATCTGTCAGTCCAGAATCCAGTGGGGAGAGAAACCAACCAATGCTGGAACTATTTTATATTTAACTGGGTGCGTTAAATTTAATTGCGTGGGTTAAGATAGAAAGTCACGAGGCCGTCGTCGTTTTAAACGGCGTCGAGGATTGTAAGGGTGAGACGTTGAGGAAGAGTTAGGACTAGTGGGTCAGGGTGCAGAGATAGTTTAGAGTTAGAGCTAATAAGGTTAACATGGAAATGTGGTTTATTTCAAAATGTTTGAAAACAAGAAGTCCATAAAGTTCTGATAACGCAAAACCTGTCCATCATTTCCGTTTTCATAACTGTTACGAACACTCAAATCCTAGAGTTTGAGGAAGAAAGCAAATTGAGTTGCTACTGCCAAGCTTTCGACCTGTTTGATAATCATCATCAGGACAAAACAACTTTAAATATGTCTACAGATTGATAGACGATCTCAAATTTCCTTGAAGACCTACTCAGTCCCAGCATTGCCAAGTACATACCTTGAGCCATAGTGTTTGTAAGTGAAAAAATGGTCCATACTTCTAATACTGAAAATGAAAACTGTTAACATTTTCTTTTTGAGTTTTTCACTTTTCAAGGCCTGGGATTTATAAACATTGTCTAAATTATAGACATAAATATGAGATATGATGATTATGGTGAAATTAGGAAACGGGGTTTGTGCCTCACAGGCACTGAAGCCTTCTGGCTGACTGTACCTTCCTAGTTCCTTAGTTCAGTGCAATAGATTCTTCTCAGAAGTATTAGGTCAATGATTGTTGCTTGTACAATTTCATTCCCTAGGTTTTTCCTTTGTGCTAGGTTAAATCTCCACTGAATTCACATTCGAAGATGATATGGGTGGCTGTTCCTCCTCCTCATTGCATAATTTGCAGATGGGATCGCCCATGTTGTGTAGATTTTTCCTCAGATGCCCGTGACCGAATAATATCCTAACATTCCTCTGTGTCTAGCCCTCTCCAACTGCAGCAGTGAGTTTATCAGACTTGGTGAGGGTTGGTTTAACATAACTTTACTGTGTCTAGTGCCCCTAGAGTTTATCCAATTCTCCTTTTGCCTTTTTTAAATCTTAAGATTTCGTGTTGGTTTTTGTTATCGCAGAAATAGGTGCAGGGCTTATATGTGGTATTGCAGATCCACCTGAGGCCAGTGTGACTTCTTTTTAGTTACCCGAAATTGCTTTGTGTCTTGGTACCCAAGATATTACCAAGTTTTCCCTTTTTCTTTTTTATTTGGTTATGCGATGGAGGATTCTGTATTTGTTTTTGTTATCCCAAGTATGTTTGGGGCCTATGTATGGTCTTGCATATAAGATATGAATATTCATTTTATTTATTTTTTTTATTTTTTTATTTTTTTAACGAGAGATCTTAACAGCAAAGGTCATATTAACCCTTAGGGTGCCGGTGTTTATATTAAAAAAACATTATTTGTAAGTATGTCGGGTTCGAATTTAGGGCCTCTGGATTCGAACTCGGGACCTTTACCTTATAGTGATGAGCGCCGTGTCAACGCCTGACCGATGCGACCATCGATGCGGGACGCCCCGAAATCTTATGTTTAATCAAAGTATTTGTACTCAGTCAAAGCGTCTCTTTTCTGTGTAGATGTGTCATTGTTGTACGTCGTCTAAAACGATCATAAATATTATTTACGAACATTATTTTTTTTAGGCTTTAGTGACCATTAATTCATGATTATTTGGAGAACTTTAGATGCGGTTTTTTGCCTTATGCATGTGTTTAATGTTGGTGTTTGTTTGTATTCGTGTGGCATTTGTGCAATTAAAGTTATTTTTGATGCGAGAAGAAAATACCTAGTTTTGTCTGCATTTTAACTAAAAGGTTCTCTGATTGATTGTAGACGCTAGTTTCCTTTCAACGGTAGTGATATCCTTCAGAATTATGTTTGCTTGTTTTCCACGTTTAACAGAAATCTGTTCATAGAATCCCATGTTGTTCTTCGTTCTTCTCGCAGAAATGCATTTATGTATGAATTTAGTGACCGTTAATTAATGGTTATTTGGAGATCGTGAGATTTGCAAGATATTTAGCAAAAAGGCCGCATCTCACGATCTCCAAATAATCATTACATTGCGTTTTGACTTTGCGTGCAGGGTGATTGGTTGTCCGAAGGATAAAATTAATGAAAGGACTATTCATTTGGGCTTTATTAGAAGAGATGGAAAGGCATTGATGTAAATTATTTTAGGGGATGAGACGGTAAATTTCCCTCCAAAATCCGATGACTGCCTGTTTCCGTTTAAGGGCGAGCGTAATGAATATAATCCTTTTGCACTATCTGGGCTAATGTAAGAACGGGGGGACGAGCAATTTAATAAGACCGCATTTGTTCTTGGGGTAAGCCAGCATATCATGTCTTCCTCTTTATAATTAATTCCGATGAGGAAGAGGGGACCCAATGGGGTGCCGGAGGCGGACCGAGTCGTACCGATTGGACGGGGTGCCGAGTGGGGTGGCGAGGGCGTGGTCCGCGTCGTCTCGCTTCTGGCCAGTCTGTGTGATGCAGTGAGTGAGAAATGACGTCGCCGACACCTTCTATGAGTGAGGATGAGGACGACCGCGAGATCAACGTCGACTCGGGCCACGAGGACGGCTGCGAGGAGGAGGACTCGCTGGACATGAGCAGCGTCTCGCCGCCCCCGGCGCTCGCGTTCAGCATCTCGAGGTTGTTGGGAGAAGAGAAGAGACATGAAAGCCCCGCCGGCGTCATCCGGGTCCCTGCACAAAGAGTCCCTCCGCCTCCTGCAGCGGGCCCGATCGCCCCTTTTCCCTGGCTCGTTCATCCGGCGGCTGTCATACACAACAGCGCTGCAGCCGCCGCCGCAGCAGCTTTCGCCTCCCACGCCATCAAAGAACGCTTATCCGGTAAGTTTTCAAAATAAACTCAAAACAACACGCACAAAAAAATCACAAACTTGATTATGGGTCATCTCATGACCTCTACTGTCACATCTCGATCGTACTCCTTATCAATTTATAGTCAATACACTTCATTGTTATGACCTATCAGAAACTCCAACTCATCACTCATATTAAATAATTAACTCCATGTGGTCTGCTGGGTCATGAATCTGCACTTCATTCGTTACCGATCATTTTGGTCTGCCTATCCTGCCTGATTTGGCCTGTCAGACGCGTTTCACCGTTTTGCCATCTTCAAACCCAGCAAAGCAGCAAGAATAGGAAGGCAAAATTGATCGGCCTAGCTACTTGAGTATTATTGTTCGTCCTGAAAGTGACCTCTAACCGTATGACTATTGCTAGTTCATTTCAGCCCCTTTCACAATTTTCAACCTAATAAAATTCATAAAATCTTCCCCAGTATATTCTTGACTCTATGGCGATGGAATACACGATATTGTTCCATCAACATTTACACATAAAGTAATACTAATCTATTTGGTAGTCGACGAGGTACTACATACTACATATTCCGTCAACACATTCACGCCAATAAATACTCTCCAACTTTAACCCTGTCTCCCTGAGTATTTCTGTCACCACCAAAATTCCATTTTTTATAAGTAAAAACTTTTTAATTTAAAAAAATTGTGATGTCTTAAAACAAATTGCTGACCATTGATTGACCTCGCTCAAAATGAAATCAATAGTTTATAAATAGAGATTACATAAACAGTAATCTAACAATTATTGAATGGTCGACACATATCACTTTGCTGGGTGGATGTCGTGTCTGAACACTGTTTTATATAATCCCACGGTTTACTTAGGTCTACACAGACTACGAGTTCTTCACTGAAGATGGCGTTAAGCCTAAACTACTATGAGCTTAAAGTAAGAAAACAACGAGAATAGACGAAAGCAGGAAAACGAAAAGTGTCGATCAGTTAATCTTGAGTACTTTCACTAACAGACACCATAACATTTAACAAAAATTGACACCTTTAACTATGAGGTGTTGATATTGACAAAAAAAAGTCTATGTGCTGTAAAAATAACAACCAAAAAATATTTACCTATTGGATTAAAAGCATGCCTCATGTTATATTTTGTCATCGTCTAAATTCTTGCATTATTTTCTTTGTTTGATTGAAATATATTTGCTAAAATAAATAAGAATGATTTTTATAATTTAAACATGTTATAATTTACAGGGATAATCTAGATCTCGGTATGTCGAATGAAAAAACAAATTTAATTGTTATCCCTGCAGCTTGCCAAACAATCTTAAATTGAAATAATTAAGTTGTCAATAGATGGTTTCAAATTTCTTTGTGGACTATCTATTAAAAACTTATGTCAATTTTTAAACATATTTAAGATTATTTTGTCCTGAGGTGACATTAAAATAAGTGGCATTTAATGGCAGATTGAAATTAAATTTGCTTTTCAAATAGACGTTACCGAAGTACATATTATTAGTTAGTAAAAAAATAGTCGATACATCTAACACTTTAAACAGAAATAATTTTGTTTAGGTTTTGTACGTAACAATAATTACTTTTTTTTTTTTACTTTTTATGACTTAACAAAAGGGATAAACTTCAATGTGTACAAGTTTATAAATTGTGATTATTTGGAGATCGGGAGATGCGGTCTTAGGTGATATAGGTTTAGAAAAACATATTCTTTATTCTATTTCTTTCTTTGTATATTCTTTATGTTTTTCTAAACCTGCATCACACAAGACCGCATCTGACGATCTCCAAAAAAGCATTAATTTACGGTCACTAAATACTACATATTTATAAATAGTTATATGGATATCGTGAGATGCGGTCTGGTTTAACGTAGGTTTAGAAAAACATTTTCTTTATTGTGCCAACGTTTCGATCTTTATTGAGATCATCTTCAGGGTCTGGGATTTCTAAACATTGTTTAAAATATACAAATACATGTAGGATGTGAAAAAATGAATTTGTACAATGCTAAATATTTTGAACTCAATCAAAGTTTTGTACTCTCTGAAAGTGTTTCTTTTCTTTTTAGATGTCTCATTATAGTGTGTCGTGTTGAGAATGCCAGTGAGATATTGAATCTAAAATTTGTAGCATTGTATAAATTCATTTTTTCAATTCCTACATGGATTTGTATATTTTAAACAATGTTTATAAATCCCAGGCCCTGATGATGATCTCAATAAAGATCGAAACGTTGGCACGATAAAGAAAAGGTTTTTCTAAACCTACGTCACAGCAGACCGCATCTCACGATCTCCAAATAATCATTAACTAACGGTCACTAAACACCACCCTTTAATGGAATGATGTTTATGACCATATTGCTATGAGAATTTAATATGACAAAGTTAACTTCCTTTGTTTACAGAACCTTTTAAAACCTCGCTTAGCTTTGTCATTCGCTAGTTATACGAAATAAATATTCCTTGGGGTTTGTGGTATGAAGAGCCTGTAGCACGGTCGTTTCCGATCATTTTGGTCGCCTATCAGACCTGTATGGTTTTTTTTTCCAACTTTAGTGTGTTTGTATGTCATCTCGAAAAATACGATTGATAAAACAACACGGAAGATGGCGAAAAGTGTATGACAGATCAAAATGGTCGTAGAAAAACTAATAATACGAAATATGTTTTCGGCATCTTATTTAAACTATTTAATGTACTTTATTGACAGCTTTCCCTGTGCATTATTGAATAATTGAGCGTGAAACATATTTTAATCCAAGATCATACAATCTTTGCCATTATTTAGGCCAGGAGTATTTTTTTCGTATTAAAATTAATACATCGTGTGAAAACCACTGTTCGATTTTAAAAAAATGGATCAGAATTTCTTAGGAATTTTTTTTTAATATACAGGGTGAATTGCTACTCGTGCTACAAACTTCTCCAGTAGATTCTTCACCCTAAAATGAACAAAAAAGTTCATATTGTCCATGGTCCGATTCTCAACCATTTCAGAGTAATTTCGCTTTTTATCGATTTTGAAAGATATCACGTCCTGGCGTCGGAAAATCGTGATATCTTTTAATCTAAACATTTCTCTTAAAATCTATAAGCACCGTTGAAATCCCCGTTAATTTTTAGAGAGAATCAAAATCATAATTCCATTGAAATTTTTTAATTTAATTTAATGCCCATTTAGTATGTAATGCTTAAGAAGTTTACAAACAGCTAGAAGGTCAAGGAAGAAAGACCCAAACGTTTTGCCACCTTCATCTTCTTATTGAAAAATTAACGGGGATTTCAACGGTGCTTATAGATTTTAAGAGAAATGTTTAGATTAAAAGATATCACGATTTTCCGACGCCAGGACGTGATATCTTTCAAAATCGATAAAAAGCGAAATTACTCTGAAATGGTTGAGAATCGGACCATGGTCAATATGAACTTTTTTGTTCATTTTAGGGTCAAGAATCTACTGGTGAAGTTTGTAGCACGAGTAGCAAGTCACTCTCAAACATTAGCAATCCTTGAACCACCATTTTTTCTCTTTTTGTCATCAACATCTTGGTCTCACAACCACTAAATAAGAAAATGACGAGTGCGTTGGAAGCGTTATTAAATCAGGTAGTTTTCCTCAAATTTGCTGCCTTCTGAGACTAAAATTAGAAACTCTGGATTACTTTATACACTTTCCGATTTACACAATTTTCCACTCTTTTTGTAGTTCTGGCTGAAATAAAACACAAAAAATTAGCCCAAACATTTTGCCACCGTCATCTTCTTATTGAAAAATTAACGGGAATTTCAACGGTGCTATTAGATTTTCAGAGAAATGTTTAGATTAAAAGATATCACGATTTTCCGACGCCAGGACGTGATATCTTTCAAAATCGATAAAAAGCGAAATTACTCTGAAATGGTTGAGAATCGGACCATGGACAATATGAACTTTTTTGTTCATTTTAGGGTGAAGAATCTACTGGAGAAGTTTGTAGCACGAGTAGCAATTCACCCTGTATAAGTGGTTAGATATTTTATTACAGACCAACAATAAATTAGCCATGACCATGCTGAACCAGCATTGGGTCACCTTTGGCTCGGTCTTCCCTCGCGGGTTTGTTGAATTACTGAAACGCGTTTCGGCATTGCGCCATCTTCAGTGAAGAACAGTTCCTCATGCCGGCGGTTCAGCTTGAACAAATGTTCAGACAAATTTATTTTCAGTATTTACTTCACTATTCACTGCTAAATTAAAATAAACAGTATATTATGTCTTAAATCGTCCGGGATTGCGGTGTCTGAGCCGTATTTGCTAAGCAGGTGGTTCTGGGTTCGAATCCAGGCACAGCCTATGGATTTTTAATTATTTATAACATGTTAAATGTATTTTAACCAGGTTTGACCCCCTCGGGATCAACCACCAACGGGCAGTTGGACGTTAAGCCCTCCTATACGACAGGAATATGTGCAGTATAATAATATATATAATATACATACAAAATTGTTCATTTTGCCAGTAATTACAGTTAATTTGCAATACAAATGTTCCTTTAGTTCGTAGCTGTATCAACCCTGTCAGTATATCGTCGCTGATTTCATCACCCAGAACTATTTGTAATTTTTTTTAAAATAATTTCTTTTAGTGAGGTTTGTTTTGCAAACCTTGGTACAAAGATAGTTATACGAAACTACAAATTTTTCATTTTTACAATAATAACAAGCGGTTTTGTCGTTGGCCTCGTTATTTCCACGTGAAAACGAAAGTGGCATATTACCCCGCTATCTCAATTCTTTTTATGATTGTTAATCGATTTAATTTTAAAAAATGTCAGTTGGAGATAATTAATTTTTATGAAATTGGATGGCCCAATGTCATCTGTAACATGACAATATTCTTTAACTGTCCGTTATTTTTATTGCCCGAATTAAACCGTCGATATCCAATAACGGCCCGTCGGAACTTCAATCGTTTTCCGTTCCATAGTGATGGAAACGTCAT